AAAGCACTGAAAGTGGTCAAGCTCTACATTCTGCACAATAAGAAAAAAAAAAACAGTACAACTCACACTGAAATGTATCAAAAACAGGACCATAGATCATTACTACCTTGTCAAAAAACAAACATGTATTGTGTATTCTGTGTATGAGTAAATGTTCAAATCTGTAATTTGCACATTTACATTTTTGTTTTAGAAATGGGGCCCTTAGCAGTAACTCAGCTCCTTGCCCTGATCTCACTGACCGTTGCTCTGGACAATGGATTGCTGAAGACTCCACCAATGGGATGGATGGCCTGGGAACGCTTTCGCTGTGATATCGCCTGTAAAGATGACCCAAAAAACTGCATCAGGTGTGATCAAAAGGGATATGTCTGGATTACTCCAGATATTTATCAATCAATTTAAATCTGATTCTAAATGTAAATGATGGATAATGTTTTAGTTATGAACCAAATATGTACAGCATAGGAAAATTGTGTTTTGCAAATGAATTGGTGTGACAAAAAATCTTTTAAACAAGTTTATACAGATATTACTAAGCCAATTTCCTCCTGGAAATTGTAACGTGAAATATGTATAAAGTGTGTTAAACCACGAAATCCAGGCACAGTAAAACATGTTTGTGTCTGTGCCTCTTTGTTAATGGAGTTACTTTGGAAAAATGTCCTTAATGAATGGCCAACTTTTAACTAAACTAATTACTAAACCTTCCACCATATTCAGTTGAAATCTGTAAAAATCTTCCTTTGCTCTGTCCATGGTGTCCACAGCGAGGGTCTGTTCAGAGACATGGCTGACCGGCTGTCTGAGGATGGCTGGAAGGAGCTGGGCTATGAGTATGTAATCATAGACGACTGCTGGATGTCCAGGCTGAGAGACAAACAAGGGAGGCTGCAACCTGAACCCTCCAGGTTGTTCTACTTTTTTCTATTGGAGATTAAGCATGTCTGTGTTTCATCTAGTATTACAAAAGACCGAATCGGCCATCCCAATTGGGGCTTTTGATGTAGTTAACAGGTCCACATCCTATCCACATCTTGAAGCCACACTGAGGGCTCTGACCATAGCCGCGGGAAGTAGGGGTGCTGGAGCACCCCCTGTTGGCGAGTGGTGTACATTTGAAAAACTGAGTGACCACCTAAATAAAAATGATTAAACTACATTAAATAGTTATGATTTTACTTAAAATAAAATTAGCTGTATACAGTAGCATATAATAGTCATAGTATATATTTGTATCAGTCAGGTGGCTTGAATTTATTTTCCAAATAAATAAAATCCGAGTCATCTAGGTCGTGGGATAGTGACGTAATTGACGCGACACACACACTGCAGAGTGACAACTTTCTAGAATGGCGCAAAAAAGGTTTTTGGATTTTTTTCTCCAGCAAACAACCCAATAAAAGGAATGGACCACCAGCTACTCCTCAGCCCACCACCTCTACAACTAGAGTAATATGACACAAAAGAGACTGACACATCTGACTTTGATGCATGTCCATAGTAACATTTTGGACAATGTGGATGTATCTGCTCTAATGAGGGTCTTCATTAGTGCCACCCCAGAGAGGAAGGCTACATTTGGAGTTTTGTGAAGCCCCAACACAAGGTAAGACGATATTTTTCTTTAATGCTGCTGCCGCTGTGCAGTGTTTTGCCTTGTCAATCAGTTGAAATTGAATTCATAGTTTTATTAATATTGTAAATCATATTTTCATCATATGGGCATGTGCAGCTGTTGCTAAGTGATGTAGGTCTATAATGGTTTTTATTAACAGTTAAGGCGAGACACCCCAGGTGAATAGGGTAAAACATTTTAACTTAAAGATATCAGCTAGAAATTTCTCCAGTTAATTACCTATAATAAGGCAATTGTTTCTTGTATTACAAGTTTTCTGAATATGCAAATGAGCCATTATCTCATTAAATTTGCGCATATTTTAACACATTTCAGGAACCGATATCTGAACTTTGGATAAAGCCAGGTTCAAAATTCTCATTTCATTTTGTAGTCATATTAGCATCTAAGGCTTTTACAGAAGGGATTTTGGATATCTCTTTTTATCACTCCATAAATCAGAATATACTGTCAACAGCCATAAAATATAAATTTTCGCCATGTTTCTAGGTATAAAATCTTATATAATTCAGGTTATGAATGACATATAATAATAATAATAATAATAATGGATTACATTTTTTATTAGAGCGCTTTTACAGGTGCTCAAAGCGCTTTACAAATACACATTACACATATTAGACATGTAAGAGTCATTACTGTGGACAATACCCACAGGAGCAAATGCGAGTAAAGTGTCTTGCCCAAGGACACAAAGGCCTGACGCAGTGGCGGCCGAGGCGGGATTCGAACTGGAGTTCACCAACGCCCCTTGATCTGATGACCAACGCTCTAACCACTGCGCCAAAACCACCCCAAAGACACATGTCATTCTGAAGATAATCGATGACACTCACTCCTACTAACTCTGGATGGTGATCCCTTCTGTCTCAGTGTCCATGTGTCACTGCTATCTCAGTGTCCCTGCTGTCTCTGTGTCCCTGCTGTCTCAGTGTCCCTGCTGTCTCAGTGTCCCTGTGTCCCTGCTGTCTCAGTGTCCCTGCTGTCTCAGTGTCTCAGTGTCCCTGCTGTCTCATGCCCCTTTTCCACCAAACCGGTTCTGGTTCAAGATCCGTTCTTGTGCTTTTTTAGTGCTTCACTGGTTCTTCTCTGTAGCACCACTTGTGTTTCCACCGTTCAGAGCCCGACTGGTCGTTTACGTCCCTTTCTTGGCATCACCGCTCACAACAACAACAATGGGGGAATGGGTCGGGTCAATGATCGTGTTGATTTTAATCATACAGATTAAATTAAAGAACGCCTTCTCCAACGTTATAATTCTCCAACGAGTGCCGTGGTTCATTCTTTATTAATGTGGCTCAGGTTCGGCATTTATCGACCGCTGCAGTGCTGCTCGTCCACCGGAGTTTAGTCTCCCGTTAACTCACGGCAGAGTTTAGTCTCCCATTAACTCACAGCAGTGTCCGCTGGAAAGTATTCACTATCTGACTGTCACACAAGCAGCTGATAAATATCCCCCCCCACCCCGTAAGTGAATGTGTGTCAGTATGAATTGACGCTGTTTGGCATCACAACGTTGTTATGAAAGTGTCTCTGGTATAAAAGGGGTGATGTTAGCATAGCAACCAAAGCTAATCTACCTATCAACCTACTTGTTGCTATCCTATTGTTGCATAAGCCGTTTTCTACAGGCACATTTTACCGGCGTATGTTTCATTATGATTCTACTTGTGATAGTCGGACATAACAACCTGTGCAGCCCATGTATTGATTCCATCCGATAGCTGCTAT